TTTGTCCCCTAACTAAGCCCCTGTTCTCACATTCGAGTCCTGAAAACCAATATAGCTGTGACTAGTATACCGGGGAAAGAGAACAACCGAGTATATACAGTTTTGCACTACGGATGACGGGGCGTGTCAACGTGGCTGCGTTTGAAGCAAGCAAGCACCGCCAGCTTGTTCTCCACGTGTTGTTGAAGGGGAAATGCGACAACAACTGGTGGAAAACGTTGATACGAACGATACAACACAATCTTATTGCTTGCCGGAAAAAGAAGAGAAGAGGTTAGCACCACGCCAAACCTACCCCCCATTGACACGCCCCATAATCCGCAGCGGAGGCTGTACCCTAGCTCTCCTTCAGGATTCGTAAGCCACGTCAGCGTGAATCAATTCTTCAAAAGGCACATTCCGCGTTAAACTGAGGCTATAAGCTGTCTAAGGTGCTAGAAGATTCCGTAGATGGTTGTAGAGGTTATACCGTATCTAAAAACTGAAAATGTGCAGGAACTCCCATGGAAGCTCGGCAGCCCACTGGTACCCCGTAGGCCCATTCCCATCCCAATGGCTACCAGCTAGGACTAGTTAGTAGCCCGTCTACTGACCTTTTCCATTTCCAATTTTGAGAGTAAGGTGATCAGGGAAAAGACTGTTACTGATACTATAACAACAGGTGATAATTCGCCTTCTCTTCACTGTAGTACAAGCTAACGTCAGGACGGGGTTCTACATATGGCATTTCGGAAGGTTTTCCTGCTTTTTCTTCACTAACAGTTACCTAGCATTTGCCATTCCTATTTGAGCTCCATTACCCACCATCTGTGGTGGCGGGCTTGCCCAGCACTCAAGACCGGCCGTGACTGGGCGGTCTCAGAAATAGCGGTTGAAACCAAGGGATTCCCATGAACGCAACTGAGCTATACTTTTTCAGATCCCCTCAGAAGAAGTGTCATCCGTATTTACTGATGCACTCCGGAACCTTTTTGAAACGGAAGTAGCGCCATTCAAATCGTCGGTATTCAGTCTTTCCATTCTGAAAGAAGAAATGCAAAAGAATGCTACCTACACAATACCGTTCATCTCTCTTACAATACTTCTACTAGTCAGCTTCACAGTTGGATCATGGTGAGCTTCAGCATGTTTCCACTCTACATAGAGCTTTGGCTCTTCCAACATTCTGTTGTAGTTCTGCTGCAATTCCTGTTTAGTATGACAGGCGACTGGATAACTTCGAAACCTATCGAGGCAATGATAGGTGTCCTCACCTCAACGATGGCAATCGTCAGCGCTGGTGGCCTTCTGTTTGGTCTTGGAGAACCATTTATTTATCAGGTTGGATATACACCACACTGCACTTACATACTTGTTAACTAAGCATATAAGCTGTTTGAAATTCGATTGAAAAACCTCATTTTCCTTGAAGAAGCTCGGGCCAGGCAATAAAAGGGAGGGGCCCATGTTGAAGATCATCGAAAGACTTGGGACATTTTTATTTATGTCGAATATGATGGAAATAATAAAAAAAGTGATTCGATTCGATTTCAATGCAGATTCATCTGATAGTCCTATGAAAAATATAAAAAATCAAATAAAATTGGTATCCACCATTGTGCCGCGTTCGTGCTTTGTGACACTTTAGAATAGGAGACACCTAATAGAGGATTTCTGTTGAACTCTGAATTCATTTGTCGGTACCGGCAAACATTTTCGCAGTTAGTTCTACCTTAAAGTCCTCCGCAACCTCGCGTGGCCTTATTTAATCTGGCAGTTTTGCCTACTGACCTTAGACCACTGCTTTTTAATAATTGACCGATTTTTCAAAAAAAGTTCAAAGTGCAATTTTTCGCTCTTGCTCCTGAATGGTCTCCCCTTCCTCTCAAAGTCTATACAGATCGTATGGAGATGGTCAGGCTGACCGTTTTCCGAACTATCCTACTTTATATAATCCGCTATGTCCGTGTGTGTGTGCGTCTGTCTGTTTGTCACGAAATTCATAGCGCCGGTCCCAGTAGCAGTGAGACATTGATTTCAAGAGTGATGTAGAGCGGTGTGACGGGAACACTATTGGTGGCTGTACAGGAAGCTGCATATAGTTGATAAGATCCGATAAGAGGGGTTAGAAGGCAGAGGTCACCATACTCATAACGCGGGTGACAGCATCAGCTAGCTCTTGATTCCAATACATGATCAAAAGAGTATGGCAAAACATTATTGGTGGCGTGAAGAAATGAAAGCTGCTGCATGATTGTATAAGGGCTCAGAAAGCGTTGCGCGTCATCGTATTCACAGCATCATGAGGCCGTACATTTTGACGAAAGCTGATATAAAGGTCGAGATGGGACAATTCAAATCGTGGGTTTTCTGGAAGTGATAACTACTGATAAGGGGCTATAAGGGTACCTTGCAGTGTTCCGTGCGCTGTTCAAGGTGGCTCACGCTTTTAACTAAAAAAAAAAAAATTCCCGTTAGAGCATTTGTGCAGAGGAAGCATTGATGGCGGGTGACAGGTAATCTTATCAATTGATAAAAACAGATAAGATACCATCTGCATTTTTATCACTTCTTACCGCTTTAATGCCGAGTATTCGAGGCCCCAGTGGTGTGAACCCTTTCCTTTGATGGCAACAGAATCATCATCATGAGGCAAAATAAGGAGGGAACCCAGCAATTGGGAGTGGGAGCGTCCCATCGGGCTCTCGATGTTCGTGCGACACACATATATATTAGGTTGGCTAATAAGTAATGGCCGTTTTTTTCAATTGAAAAATTTGTTCGAAAAGTGAAACGTTTTGCAAGCAAGTTATATATCATCTGATAGGAAACTTCTCGTAGTATAAGAATATCAAAAAAGCTTTGGTTGAGGATATAGTTTTTGTGAATTTTTTAGTCGTTGAAGTTGGAAGTGAAGTCGGCGAAAATTAGCATCTTCGACAACTGCCTCTATTTACGTCTACTCGAAGTGCTAAAATCGCTTAAGCTGCTCCATACATTCGGAAAAGGTTGAGGTAGAAGTCTCAGCAAGGGAATCTCAATAGGACGCTTTGGAACTAATTTCAAGAATTTCAAAGTTGGCAACCTTCACCTTGCCAATATTGGGCAGGCTCACGTCTGTTCCACCTGAAATTTCATGCTAATAGTTGAATTAATTGAATTTGAATTTGATATTCTAATACTACGAGAAGTTTGCTATTAAACGATATTAAGCTTGCTTGCAAAACTTTTCACTTTTGGAACAAATTTTTCGATTGAAAAAAACGGCCATTACTTATTAGCCAGCCCACTGCTAGTGGGCTGGCTAATAACTGCTAGTGGGCTGGCTAATAAGTAATGGCCGTTTTTTCAATTGAAAAATTTGTTTCAAAAGTGAAAAGTTTTGCAAGCAAGCTTAATATCAAACTTCTCGTAGTATTAGAATATCAAATTCAAATTCAATTAATTCAACTATTAGCATGAAATTTCTAAATAGAGGCAGTTGTCGAAGATGCTAATTTTCGCCGACTTCACTTCCAACTTCAACGACTAAAAAATTCACAAAAACTATATCCTCAACCAAAGCTTTTTTATTCTTATACTACGAGAAGTTTCCTATCAGATGATATATAACTTGCTTGCAAAACGTTTCACTTTTCGAACAAATTTTTCAATTGAAAAAACGGCCATTACTTATTAGCCAACCTAATATATGTACAGGCACTGTTTAGTTCTCGTTTTCAGTGCCACCCATGACTCTGCAGTTATGCCTCTTTCGGATGTTAAGAGCTCATCCGGACTAATTCAACTCACCAACTGCGGTCCTTAATGATATGGTGCAGCCTTCTCACCGTTGAAAGTCTGTAGTAAGCAAGGGGACCAGATGTTGGTAGATAATGACTGATGTTGAGCTATTTTCAACTCATTTTCCTGCATTTCAATAAAAAATTGCTGTCATCATTTTGCACATTTAGCGCATCCTACCCCGCCCAAGGGAAGAGTGCCTGGCGGGGTAGGATGCGCTAAATGTGCAAAAGCCAGGTCGGCCCGGCGAAGCCGGGCCGTGAAACAGAAGGAGGAGCACCCGGCGGCAGCCGGGTGATCCGACTGGTTTGCAATAATTTCCCGTGCTATTTGCATTACTGTGTACCATACTCTGTACCCTCATTGGTGTGCACCTCGTTTCTAATAAGCAAGGCGAAATGTGTGGTAGCGACGAAAGCACGATAGACCTGACTCCGCCCACTACGCCATCGTAGAACGTTCTATTGGAAAGGATCGGATTAGCTTATGGACTGAACTATGATGTTCCTTGCTGAGTTGGTGCCACTATATAGGCCCTCCTAACTTACACCATTTGATGCATCCAGCAAAGTTGAAGAGCTGCACCTTTTTTGAATGTTTTTTCGTTTGCAATTGAAGAAAGCTCTGAAAAAGGTTTGAAATTTTCATTAAATCCTCCGAATGGAAACGGTGGAGCATAGAACAGCAAATAAAAATGCAGTCTTCTCATGAAACACTCAATGACAATGAACAGTCCTCATCCCTTTCCATCAAAGCATTTCTAACAGTTCAATTTTTCAAGGTGACTGTCATGCCATTTATTGCTCTGGCAATAGGAGTGGATGATGTTTACGTAATGCTCGGTGCTTGGCAAGATACTCGGCGAACGCTTGCCCCTGAAAAGAGAATGGCCCTGGCATTGGAGGAAGCTGGAAGGTATGGAATCTGCTCGCAAATTTTGCAAGGATTCCGCTGATATTTTTTCCTTCCAGTGCTATTTCTGTAACATCAATCACGTCAATTCTATCATTCGGTATTGGCTCCTTCTCCTCGACACCTGCTATTTCCATCTTTTGCAAGTTCATTATGGTTGCAGTGGCTTTTGATTGGTTTTATCAGGTACTACTATTGCTTGTTTGCTTTCCTTTTTCGTGCGATTCCTTCGAGTAATAGACTTGAAAAAACCAAACCTAATAAATTATGAGCATTAGAGTAAAAAAAGAATGCTATTGAAGGGGACTCTGGAAAAATGAAAGAACAACCACTAAAAGATGCAAGCAATTAAGCTAGATAGTCGATGAAGATGGTGGACGCACGCGCCACATGGCATTTTTCTCATGGCATTCTACAGTGAGTAACAGGGCACATCGTTGTTGGGGAATCCCCAATAGGGGGGTCGTATTTGGGTTGGGAAAATAGTTGATTTTTCTCGCTTCATGGACGTTGTAAAGGGGGATCGTACTTGGTCATTTTTGGGAGGGGGGTCGTATTTACGTTTTGGCGTTGTGGGAGTGGCGGTTGACTTTTGGTGATTTTCCTGTTTCACGTACTATATGCCCCCCCCCCGCTCGACAGCAAAATTTTTGGTAAAAAGTACTATATGCCCCCCCCCCCCGCTCGACGGCTCGATTCGATGAGGAAGGACAGAGGGCTGGGGGGAGGGGGTCGTACCAACTCCCAAAAAAAAGGGGGGTCGTATAGAGTCGACTAAAATCCCCAACCAATGATGTGTCCCTGGTGAGTAAGGCAGATGGTTCTGGCAATCATGAAACAATCCCCATCAGATTTTCTTTTGCTTGTGGAATTTGATTTTCCCAGACAGTATTTCAAGAAGTACCTACAGATTACCTACTCGTCTAGTGGCTTGTGTTTTGGTTTGTGTTATGTAATTATGAAAACAGTGGAGTTGTGACTCACAGTATCTACAGATTACATATTCCTCTAGTGTTCCACCTTCTTCAGCTGACCTTTTTTGCGGCTGTGATGGTGCTAGGCGCACGAAGAGAAGCTGCCGGATACCATTGTATTTTTGTATGGAAAAGATGTGACAAAAGCGAACGAGAAAAGGTGAGTGTTTTTTCTTTTCTGAAAACATTCTGTCCTTGTAAGAGCGGTCACCCCTGTTAGCTCACTCGGAAAATGTTACCCTCACCATCAGCCATGCATGCGGATCACAATAATCAGGGGTCCAAGCTAGGCCTTGTCGAGTTATACTTTCTCAACTCACGCAGGCGTGTGAGCGAAGGCGACTAAGGACGACTAGATAGTTTATAAAAGACCTCTAAGGTAAGTCCTAACGTCTGGAGGGCATACTGCGCGGCTTTTACGATGGTTCCCGTCAGGTTGCGCTCAGTTGTTGTAAACAGCTCTGACGCATTCATTTTGTGAGATTCTGTAGTTTCCAACGAAGAAGTGCTA